TACTGACCTCCACAAAGCAAAAAGCCTGCAGGCTTAGATTTTACTATAGAAAATGAGTTTACAAGATCCTTTACAGAAACCCCTACGCAGCCAGCTCTTCCAGGGACGTAACGTATTTTTTTTTTTAATCTGAAGATTTGAGCCACGTTCCCTAAAAGCGAACAGTTTTGCTCTCCCCTCCCTCATGTATGTACGGTTATCGGACATCTGCATTTTTACAGAACTACAGGTTCCTGTGTTGAATCACTGCTGATCTGTGTAAGCTGGATAGTGATTAAAGATGCAAATGTCTACAGAATAATAGGTATGTTGTGCTTTAATGCTTTGTGGCAGGTTCATAGAATTTGTATCACAGGTGTATGGATGGATAGTGTACAAAATAAATAAACTTGCACCAAAGTGAGAGAAAAAACCTTTCCATTTTGTCTCCATTGTGGCCAGTTTCTTCTCATACTTAAAGGGGATTTTGGAGTTAATCTCTTCATCGCTTTCTAAATGCTTGCTCTATGTTACTTTGTTCTTCTGTAAAAATCAGAAATAGCAGTCCTACCAGTTTCTCTTAAGGGGAAATTGAAGGGGCACGCATATGCCTTTCTCAGTCAGAACTCAGAACATGGATTCACTGCAAAATCAGACCCCTTTGGTGAACTCCCTTTGCTTTGTTTGCACTTGGTTATCGCTGAGCCTTCCTCTAGGTTCGGCTTTTTAAACTGGCTAGCGTCTTCCTGTTTTTAAGTACACAAAAAAAGGGCGTGGGAAGATAGGGATGGGACTGCCTGTGCATTACACCTCAGGTTTTGCGCAGTAGTACCACAAAATAAGCGTGTCTATCCTTTGTGAGAAGTTTTGTCTAAATAAAATATATTTGTATTTGCTGTTGAGACTGACCATTCATCCTACAGGCATCCTCTGTATCAAATAGCCTAGTAGAAATACACCGGTCTTTGTTTTAAAGCCATTTGTGTCTGTTCTTTCATGGTCTCGCTTCTCTTAGCTCCTGACGAAGGCAGGTCCTACAGGGAAGAGCCTGAAAGCAGGGGTGGTACTGCTGGCAAACCCCCAGGCGATGCTCCCATCCCGGTACGCAGACCAGGGAACTGGAGGTCTAAGAACTTTGAAATTAAACAAAAAACAGCCACACAGCTCTAATGAAGCACTTGACCCTGGGAAAAACGCAGCGGACAAGGTTATTCCGCTCATCATCTGTGTCTTACTGTAACGACTACCTCTCCTCTGCTTGCGAAACGAACGGCTGGACGCGCTGCGCAAAGCAGGGCTGTCTGCTGGAGGATTTGCGCGCCGCTGTGCAAAGAGCAACTCGAGGACAGTGCTTCTGCCTGCAGGTGTTTGTAGAAAGGATTTCCTCCCTGCCCACAGCGCCCAGAGGAGATGAAAGGTTATGTGGACGAGCACTGTAAGGTGCTGTGGTCTGTGGCCGTGGTCCAACCCAGACAAGCACTGCAGCGATTCCAAGAATGTGAAGCTGAAGCAGGGCCCAAGATAAGGCTGTGCACACAACAGAGCTTTTATCTGCCTCAAGGCTAGTCTTTCCCTGCTCTGGGTTCGTTACACTGCAAGTAGTTCACTGCCGCTTGTTCCAGCCTTAAGACCATTTCTGTCTCTTTATCCTTCTCCAAATCTTTAGCTAATCATCCTTTAGGCCAACTCATTCCCTGTCTCCCTCCTGGCCCGTTTTCCCCATCAGCCTTTTCTACAGCAGGCTCAGCCATCCCAGTCCTAGCCTCTTCCCAGCTCCTGTTTCTTCCTTGGAAAAGCAAGACACAGTAACGCATGCCCAGAGGCATTCTAATCCTTAAAGCCAGCGGCTATTGACTGCTGGAGACCAGAGGCTTCAGCAGAGACGGAGGCTGGCTCCAGAGCGATGTATATCCTGGAGCTGGGAAAGGCAAAGCCAGCCCAGCACTGCAGGATGGGTCCTGCCAGCCCAGAGAGCAGCGGGGCTACCCAGCTGCCCCCCATGGAAAGAGCTTGCCATCTGTTTGCAGGATCAAAGCTTAAAGCTCCAAGATTCTGCCTGCAACGCTTGACAGAAAGACTTACAAGCAACTTCTCCAAAGGCAACACCCCCATTTTTGCCAGCCTGAGAGCCCTCCCGCAGCCTGCGAGGGGCCCTACGCCATCACAATCTGTCAGCCACCTCCAGACAATGGCAGGTCATTAGCAGAGCCTGGGTCAGAGGAAAACCCACCCGAGCTAAGGTGGGGAAACCGGCAGACTCACCCCAACATCCATGGGCCACAGATGAGGCGAAAGCAGCACCCAGAGCAGTCCCAGAGTCTTGAGCTGTTTTACAGAAGCAAGCCAGGGATCACCACCCTCGCTAGGCAGGCTGGAGGGTGAAAGCAGAGGAAATCAGCTCTTGCTGCTGCTGCTGCCCTATTTATGGAGCAGCTGTGGGAGCTCTTGCCCTGCATCATTGGGTACAGCGATGCAACACACCTGGGCACTCTCCTGCCCTGACAGCAGCACGGGTGGGAGCTGGCAGCCTCTGCCCTCCCTCCCTGGGGGCAGCTACTGCCAGGGCTGCGGCCGGGGGGGTGGCAACCAGCCAGACCTTTGACACTCAACAGCTCGGCTCCCTCCAGCCCTGCAACCACAGCCCCGTTCAGGCACGGGTCTGTCCCTTCTGGGGCAGCCCAGTGAGGGGGGGATGCACCCCTCGGAGTGCCGGGTCCTAGGCTGGGCCAGCCCCTGCCCCAGCCCCTCCGCACGCAGCCAGGGCAATTCCCACCACCATGCGGATCCCGCAGCTGGGACCCTCCATGGGATGCGGGACCCCGAGCGAGGCTCTCCTGTAACCGGGCATGGGGCAACGCTACGGGGCTGTGGGACCAGGGGCTGTGGGCAGGAGCCGCCCCCCGGCCCCCCCAGCCACAGATGGGTGGGCCCGCAGGGTGCACGGCCCCTTTCGCTTTTGCTTCTCCTTTTGGGGCCAGCCCTGGCCCAGCCCGGCATGGCACAGCTCGGTTCAGCCATGCCGCGGCTCAGCGTGGCGGAGGCCAGGCGGTGGGGGGACCAGTTCGTGCAGTTCCTGCGGGACACGGGCCGGGAGCAGGAGAACCAGCGGGAAACGCTGCGAAGCATCTACGACCAGGAGTTTCGGGGGAGGTGAGAGCCCTCGGCCAGACCCGGGCAGCATCACCAGAGCTGAGCCCGCCAGCCAGCGGGGTCCTGCCAGCCTTCCCTACCAGCCAAGAGCCCCGGCATGGGCTGCAGGGCAGCCTGGAGCAGACACCTCCCCTCGCAGACCGGGACCGCGCTGGCGCTGGCGCTGGGCTGGGACCGCTCTCCATTTTCCCCACACATGTACTGCCTGGGGGAGGGTCCTGGCATCACTCCTCTTGGTTCAACTGGTCACCCCTCTTAATTCGGCTGGTATCTCTACCACTCCTGGTGTTGTAGAAGTCACTTTTTAGCTCAAATAAGGATCCAAAGACCTGTTGAAGCCTTAGACTGCAAGCTGTGAACCTTCACTTAGATGTGCCGACCGTATGCTGAACTCTCACCTACCCGCACCAACGAACGCCCCGTCACTTCTTCTAAGGTCAAGTTGTTAAAAAAGTTGTTAAATTGTAGTAAAGCACTGCACAGCCTCCCTCGATTTTCCATAAAGCCACATAGCTTAGCTGCATGGCTGGCGTAGATATAATCGTGAGAAGGCTTGCAGGTATCGAATATTTGTACTCAATGTTTGTCTCTATGGAAGCTTTCTATTAAAACTGGTGTTTGTCTACAGACCTTGAGTGTTGGCCCACCTTAATCCACACCGAGAGGATTTGCAAATCATAGTCACCCTCCCCTTCCCCCAGGTGGGACGTCACAACTGGTCTCACCGTTCACTAAATGGCTTAAGCAAGAGTCTGGCCCCCAAAGGGCATCACTGGGTGTGCAGGGGAGCTCAGTGCCCGCAGCGGGTGACTGGGGTGCAGGCAGCAGGCAGGGACCCGGCCAGGCAGCTGCCTGGCCCGAGAGCTGGCACGGCTGCGCAGGCACACTTTGATTTGTTTCCTTGGAATACATTTTTAGAGGAAAAATGGTGTATTGATTTCAAGTCCTGGGCCCTGCCACCACAGCTGGGGCTGCTGGAGCAGGGACAGGCTTGTTGCAGCCCTGCCCCAGGACGGTGACAGAGGAGGCATGGCTCCAGCGATGACCACAGCGCCTGTCGGGACTGGGTACGGCTGGGGAGCTCCCGCCTGGCCCTTCCCACATAAGCTGCTCCCAGGGTCTTGCCCCGATGAGCCCTGATCCTGCACCAGCGGCTGAAACAAGAGGGGCTGGGGGCCAAGCAAGGCCCCTACCCTGCAGCACGTAGCCCACAGGCAGCCACACGGACCAGCACGGGGGCACAACGGACAGCCAGAAGGATGCCACACAAGCAGAGTTACAATTATGGAAATACCAGTTTGCATTTATTCTCCCAAGTACGCAGTTCAGTTTACCCGGTGCTAAGTCCATGACCAATGCAGACCCGAAGAAGGCATTACTGGCAGAGCTGGGCAGAGGCGCTGCCCCAGCGCGGGTCCCGGGAGCAGAGTGCTTCTGGCAGCGGCCGAGCATGGTTCTGCACACAGACGGGGCCAAAAGCTGCTCTGGGCAAGTCTGTATAAAATGCTGGTGTGCAGCACCTCCCGCTTCTGCGGCACCTGCCCGGAACTGGAGAGGGAGAGCGAACACCGCGGCAATCCCGACAGGAGAGGCGAAACCAGGGAGATCAGTACAAAACGGGGCGACACCGAGAGCTACGCAAATGCCCGGCCCATAGAGAGCAGCGAGGACTGAAGGCACTGGCCCCTCACGGCCCCGGGGTCGCGCAGGGACACCCCACAGGCTTGGGTGGCAGCTCTCATGCAGGGGGTTCGGGGCAGGTACCGGCACCACGAGGTCCCACTTCGGCCGTCTGCCAGCGCTCCCTCCCCGCGCGGCGCAGGGCAGCCGGGTGCTGGTGCAGGCAGCTGCCTCCTGGCCCACCAGGCTGCTCACAGCAGCGGGCAGCCCCTGCGCTTCTTGTTCTTCCGCACCTGCAGGCCTGCGCGGGTGGCCATCTCGAAGACCTCCCGCACGCCCTCCTTCGTCTTGGCCGAGCACTCGAGGTAGCCGAAGGCATTGATCCTGTTGGCCATGTCCCTCCCCTCCTCTGGCTTCACCGGCTCCTAGAAAGCATTTAAAAGGGGGTTCAGAAGCATCGCCAGAAAACAGCAGCAAAAGCACAGTGGGCATCCAGCCCTTAGCGCCAGGATCCAGCACAGCAAAGGGGAGCCCCGGCAAGGCAGCACGGGGAGAGGCGGGTCGCTGGCCGAGGCAGCGGGACCCAGGGCTGCCCCTACCTGCTTCATCTTCGCCAGCTCCCGCCGTGTGTGCTCGTCGTTCCGCAGGTCCTTCTTGTTCCCCACCAGGATGATGGGCACGTTGGGGCAGAAATGCTTCACCTCCGGCGTCCACTTCTCGGGAATGTTCTCTGCAACAAGCACATGTGGACCTCCCTGAGCCGAGGGGCTGCCCCCCCCCCAGCCTCCTCACAGCCACGGGAACCGGCACCGGGCTTTTCCCACGGGAAGGGGGGAGCTTGCCCCATGGCATCCTCCTCTCCCACCACCTCCGCCAAGCCTGCAAGTTCCCAGCATTTTCCTGGAGCGCATGCAAAGCCAGTGGATGGAGGGGAGGGGCTGGCATCCCCCAGAGGGGTGGCACGGGGGCTTCCCAGACCCCAGGGGGTTTAGCAGCAGCACCCAGTCCTGCAGGAGCCCCAGGTGCCCCCTCGCTCCCTGGTCCCTACCGAGGCTGTCCGGGCTGTCGATAGAAAAGCACATGAGGATAACGTCCGTGTCCGGGTACGAGAGGGGCCGCAGCCTGTCATAGTCCTCCTGTCCCGCCGTGTCCCACAGGGCCAGCTCCACCTGGGAGGGGAGAGGGACAGGGCTCAGCAGCTCGCAGACGGCTCAGCAGGCCAGGAGCGAGCAGGTTTATCTTCCTCAGTTATAGCTACAGTCTTCCTCAAACTGGGGCAGGTTCAGGGTGACCCAGAAACATGGGAGCTGCGGGGCACCCTGAGTGCTGCAGGTGCATCCGAGCCGCATGGACCAACCCATGTGGCAGTGCCAGACGGTGGCACTGCCAGCGCGGGACCATGGGAGCGAGGGGACGGGAACAGCTCCGGCATCCCGCGACGCTCCCTACCTGCTTCCCGTCTACCTCTATGTCGGCGATGTAGTTCTCGAACACAGTCGGTACGTAGACCTCAGGGAACTGGTCCTTGCTGAACACGATCAGCAGACACGTCTTTCCGCAGGCACCGTCTCCCACGATCACCAGCTTCTTTCTGATGGCCGCCATCGCTGCAGGGACAAGAGCGGGTGAGTGGGACAGAGCAGCCATGGGCAGCCCACGCTCCCAACCCCTCCTGGCTCCCTGTGCCCCAAAGTCTCTGGCACAACTGCCCGGGAGGGTACCAGACAGGGGCACCTGGGCAGGCCCCAGCATGAGCAGCCAGTGACTGCCAGGACAGAGGCTCTCCCAGCCTCCCACCGGGCGCACCTCCAGCTCCCGCACACAGCCCGCACGGGCACCGGCTCACAGGCACTGCAAGAACCAGCCCAACTGGAACCACTTACATCCATCACCACAGCCAGAACCGTCACACCGATGCCCCGGCAAGCGCCGGTGGCTGCACACAGGGACCTTGTGCGAGATGATGAACCACTCTGCCTTACCCACCCCACCGGCAGCAAGGCTCCTGCCCCGGCCATCCAATCCCTCCTGCGCTGGGCTTTCTCGCTGTGCCACCACCCCAGGCAAAGGGGATTTTTGACAACCTCAGAGTCGCGTGCGCACACACACTGGTTTTATTTTAGATTATAAATTCTTCAGGGCAGAACCTGTACTCCGGGTTTCACCCGGGCACGCTTGCTGGCTCCCAAATAATCCGATCAGCAGCTGGAACGCACCAAGCTGAGCTCTCGGAGGTTCGGGCAAGCGCGACCTGCACGCCTGGCACCTGGCGCCGGGCTGGCCCCATCCCAGCCCGTTTGACAAAGGAGTCTTTGCCACAGACCCGCCAAGAGCCAACGCTGGCACCAGCAGCAGGAGAAGCTGCCAGCCATCACTCGGCAAACAGAGCCAAAATCCCGCAGTAAAGCGGGCTACTTTCTGCCCCAAGAAAAAAGGATGCCGTCCTGCAAGTAAAACTACGCCTTCGCATCCTTGAGTTTCAAAAGGAGATTACAGCTGCGCCTGGGAATCGCCCGGGACGATGCCACAGAACACCTGCTGTGGCGTCTGAAGGAGGCACGAGAAAAATCAGCCGTGGTGGGTTCACATCCCTCTCCGACCTTGAGCCCAAAATCTCTTTCCCATCCCCAGTTTCCCAGATGTTTCAGTTCAAAGAGCCCGAGCCCCTCCACACGCAGCCGCAGCACATCACCAGCTCTCTGTCCCCGCGGAAATCCCAGGCAAGACACACTGACAGCGCAGGGTTTAATCCCTGGCAAGGCGCGCACTGCTCTGCAGGCTGGGGGAAATTACAGGCGACCAGAAAACTGCTCACGGAGGCAGGGGCGGGCCCC